TGAATTAATTGCTTCCAATGTGTTAATTTTTTGGTAGTGCTATTCGTTCCTTTGTTCTGCATATCTTCTTGTGCTGAATTTGTGGTTTTTGTGCTATTTCTTGTCAGTTTCTTCTTAGTTATTATGTTTGCTTGTTCTGCTTGGACGTTCATTTTCATGGTAAGTTGTGAAATATTAACTTTCTTTGGGGTTGCTTTATAGTCTAATAACTTTTCTTTCCATTTAAGACAATCTATTGCATCCTGTAATCTACCTGACATCCTCACCACCTGGATGTCTGTTCCTACATTTTTCAATTCTTTGACATTGATATTATTTTGATCTTCAGTTGACCTCTCAGCTCCTTTGAATTTGTTGTTGTAATTTTGTTCTGTTCTGAACTCTGCTGTCGACTGAGTTCCCAGTGGTGTTGCCATGTCTTTCAATTTCTGGTTGTTGTCTGTTCTTGTTGGGTTTCAGTCCAAAGAACTCCCTTTAGGATGTTTTGAAGTGCTGGATTGGTTTTGATAAAATCTCTTAGATTCTGTTTATCCTGGAATGTTTTGATTGCACCATTGTATTTGATTGACAGTTTTGCTGGATAGATGATTCTTGGTTAGCAGTTTTTTTCTTTTAGGGTTTTGTGTATGTCTCCCCATTGCCTTCTTGCCTGCATGGTTTGTGCTGAATAGTCAGAGCTTAATCTGATTTGCTTGCCTTTGTAAGTGGCACTTCTCTTCTCCCTGGCTGCTTTTAGGAATCTCTCCTTGTCTTTGATTTTTGGAGAGCTTGATTATTATATGTTTTGGTGACTTTCTTTTGGGATCTATCCTTACTGGGGTACATTCGGCTACTTGAATGTTTATCTTCTCATCTTTCAAGAGGTTAGGGAAATTTTTTTCCAGAAGCTCTTCAATTATCTCCTCTGTGGACTTCTCTGATTCTTCCTGTTCCAGAATGCCAATAATTCTTAAGTTGTTCCTCTTCATGTTATTCAGCATGAATCTTAAACTCTCTTCAGATTTTTTTCATCTTTTTTCTGCTTGCTCTTCTATCTTAGCAGTATAGAGAGATTTGTCTTCCAGCTCACTAGTTCTGGCTTCCATCTCTTTTATTCTGCTCCTTTCCCTTTCAGTGTATTGTCCATTTCTGATATTTTATTATTAATCATCTAGACCTCTCTTTGCAGGTTTTGAATTGTTCCCAATGCTGTATCTACCTTGTTTGATTGCTCTTGTAGTAGTTTCATGACTTCTTCCTTGTTTTCCTCCACCCCTTTTCAGACCATTTGAATTTGTTTCCATATCATTCTTCTGAATTCCTTCTCAGGCAAATTCAAAACCTGCTCTTCCTTTTCTGGGGAGATTTTGTCTGTCTCCAGTGCATTTGTCTCAGTTACTCTTTTCTGTTTTGGGACATGTTTTGAGATCGTTTGTTGTGTTTGATATCTTTTGTTTGTCATTTCCAGTAGTTATGTGGTTTTTTTTTTTAAATGCTTAAATGACATTTGTTGTTGTGTTATTAAGCTTACTGGGTGTCTCCTGGTGGATATGATCAGGAGATAGGCTTTCCTTTTCGCATGTAATGCTTAGCAGCTGTTATTGGCTCTTGTCTCAATGGTGGAATATTATGGGGTATGCTTATAGCTTGGGTATATGGCCACGATTGCTGTCTCTTCTTGGGTAACATAGTGAGAAAAAGCTCCTACCTCCAGGAAAAATGTGTGATCAAAAGGGCCAAAAGCAGAAGTAATATAAAAGCAGAGACAAAACCCACCACTTTGAAACAAAAATAAAACTGTGGCCAACTGTCCAGTCACCTTGCTACATAGGCAGTGTGTGTGCTCTCTAGAAACTTCCAACAGTGGGTGCGGGTGTCCGGTCACTCAGGCCCTCCTCTAGTCACCACTGTGGAGGTGCACAGATAGATATTGAGAAGTTAATGGGAGAAAGATTTTCCACTATTTTTGTCTCTAAATGTCAGTTAGGTATCTGCGTGTGCACAGTGTAATTCTTGAGATAGTTGCATCCTTTATATGTTGGGGTTTTACAAATTGTTCTGTGATTTGTCTGTCAGGTCTGATAGGCCTGAGTAAAGTGTTCTGCACAAGTTAATTTTAGCGCTGCAACCCGAAGGCTGACGTCATAAGTAGCCACCAAGCTCTTTCTCTCTGTACTGTGCAGAAACTGTGGGGTCAGCGCTGGACTTTTTTTTTTTGTGTGTGTGTGGGGTGCACCCATCCGCCTGAAGGCATCCAAGCTGGGTAAAGAAGGAGCGACAGGGAATAGGAGGAAAAAATGAGTAGAATCTCCCGCACCTTTTGCAAATGTCACTGTACCGCTTTTAGCGTCGGTTCCCTGTGATGGTCTGGCTATAGCCCTGCTCTCTGAACTCCGCCTGGGCATGATGGCCACAGAGGGAGTCCCATCTCCAAGGATTCTTAACTTGCAGTGTTTCTTTTATATCATGATTTTTTCACTTGCAAGTGTGGGAAAATGATGTCCTGGACATTATGGTAGATCCAGAGCTCTGGTGGTGTTCCATGAGTGCAGCTTCTCTGGGTTTTCAATTCCTCCCCCATAGAACCTTTCCTACCTGGCTGCCTCTGCAGGCACGCAAACCTGAACTTCCCTGAATTTGTTTTTCAAAGTCCATCTTTCTTAGGCAAATAATACTTAAATAAATGGCAAAATGACTTTCTCCTCTGTATAAAACTGAAGGCCAGATGTTAGAATGTGTTGCACTAAAATGTATGAATGCATTTTATGTGTCCATTCTCTTGGCTTCTCTTTATAACATCACTTAATTGTTAGGTCTTGCACACAGTAAGTATGCAATAGACATTTCTTGAGCGAATCAGTTAATACCTGTACTCTTGTTTAAAATCAAACCAAAGGTTTTGAATGGCACTAAATTACTTTATACAAATGTGTCCTTCCAAGTTCTTTCAAAAGTCACTCCGGTTTGTTAATCACTTTACTTCTAGAATATGGTTTCTAAGACCACAGATCACATGATATTTATATTAGTCTCAGTGCTTCACTTGCTGTATAGTTAATGGAAGCAGTATGCCCATTGCAGATAACATCATCATGAATTACATTTTGCAACATTTAAAAAGTTGCTACCAAATTTAATGTAAAAGTATCCCTTGTTTTTTACTGAAGTTATGCAAGATACCAATGTTTAAATTTAAAAGTGCACTTTACTTTTATCTAAGGGAAATAAATTATCTTTTTAAATTATAACTGATTATTTCTAACATTACAGCTGGTGATACAACATTTTTCAAACAACATATTCCAAAATGCAAATGAATGAAATATGAACCATAGCAATGAAAATGTGAAAAACCCACTGTTTTCAAATAATAAAAAACCTCAGGAAAGTTAATCATATGATTATACTTATGTTTTTAAACAGAAAAATTTCATCAATGCTGTAGTAATATTTTTACTTAACAGAGACCTATCATATTTAATAATGATCTTACAGTAAGTTACATTAGAATACTGAATTTTTATCAGTTTTGCTAAACATGTATTTTTAAGATTCAAAAAAGAAGTATGTTTCTCACATTTTCACGTAATGTAAAATTTTCATTAACAGCACAACTATTGTATTTCAAACCTTTCAATGGAATAATTATGGAGAAATGCAAATTGGGAAGGAATTCTTTTTTTTTAAGAAGGCTATTGAATCTAGTTGGGTCTAAAAGGAGACGCTATGTTTCATTCTTGATCAGTTACTGGAAAAATAAACTAGTCCAAAGGAGTATTGGGATATTATTGATGTGAGGAGAATGTGACTAAAACATATTTTGTTTGTTTGTAATTATAGGATTAAAACCACAAGCAATGGCAACCCATTGCTCCACAGTCTTAAAATGATATGTGAGAATTGCATTCTTGTGATTCCTCCAATCACTTTGTTTCTGTGGCGTGGGGCTGAGGGAGCAGCCATACTTTATAAACAAAGTGATTTAAATCCTTTCATGATGCTATAAACTAAATTTTCATTTCTGAGCTGTACCCCCTTTGGATATACATTTACAAAATTTAAATGTCCATCTTCCATAGGCCAGTAACATGTGAATGAATTGTAAAAGCCTTTAGTGAACAAAGGTTTCTTTCTCTGGGTCCAAATTATTTACTTTTTTTAATTTATGAATTTTGTTTTTGAAATGACTTAAGGCAACCCGTTGTACTCTGAATGCAATTTTGGTTATTATAAAGTTAGGCATATTCAGTTTTGCTTTTAAGCAATTGAGGTTGGTTAAATTTAGTTTTGGAGTTTTGGTGTGGCACTGTAGGATAAGCATTAGACCGCGAGGTCAGTTTGAACCACAAGTTTGGTGGTTCAAACTCACCAGCTTCTTTTTGGAGAAACCAGGAAAGCTATGAGTCAGAACTGACTTGACAGCACATAACATCAACAACAAAATTCATATTTGGAATTAAGTGGATATTTTTATGAAGATGCTCAACTTGCCTTCCTTTGATTATTATAACACTAGTAATTGGACACACAAATTATATTTCATTCCTTAACTGTTTTATGTATATAATTCTTGATTTGCCAAGAAGATTCAATGTGTTCTCTACTTCTTTTTTATTTCCATAGCACAAAGTAGGGTTCTGGACAAGTATCACATGTTACAGAAGCATTTTTAAAGCCTGGGACCAATACTATAACATGATATCTAACTCTGGTAGCGTAGTGGTTACGAATCGGGCTGTGAACCGCAAGGTCAGCAGTTCGAAACTACCAGCGGTTCCGCGGGAGAAAGAGGAGGCGTTCTGCTCCCGTAAAGATTTACAGCCTCGGAAACCCTGTGCAGGGTCGCTATGAGTCGGAACCGACTCCACGGCACTTAACAACAACAACAACAAGCATCTCATTGATTTACTACACATATTGCACATATTGTTTTATTTAACAATTAGAACAACAACATCATATATATATATATATATATTTTTTTTTTTTTTGCATGCTACTATATATATGTCTACTATTACCTGGCAGTGACTTAGACCACTTGACTACTGAAAGAAGTTGCCTCTCGCCTAGTTGATTAAGACTCGTCAGGAGAGAACTCGAGGTATCAGGTTTTGTGTTGTCATGCCCTGCGTAGATGACATCTGGTTCAATGCTCATTAGCAGGTTGATCAGTGGGGGTACCAGCTGAATTTCTTGACTTGGTGAAAAAGTGATTCTCTGGCTTTCATTTGGAATGCCCACTTGCTGTGGGAGAGCAACTGCATCCAGTGCTCTCATAACTCTGACTTTATTGAACTTTTTAAACTTCCGACCTACAAAATCCAAGGAGGAAAAACAACAAATTCATGTAAGTACATAGTAAAGAACTCTTCCAGCAGAATACATTTTTCTCAAGTCTTAAAATTATAGGTTTTAGCATCAATCTAATAAAACAAGAATTAGAAAAATCAGTCATATCAGTCTTCATTGGATTGGTGGGAAGTGATTAACTATACCAATTTCTAGCTTGGAGTTATGCAACTTTGTATCAACATGAATGAAAAGGTAAATGGTTTTTTGTAAAGTAAGTTCAGTATTAGTCAATATTATGAAAGAACTGTCCCTCCCCCCGCCAAAAAGAGTGAATGCTACAGGCTGTTAAATGCCATTGAATCAGGTAGTGACCCTGTATAGGGTTTCTGAGGAGTAGCTGGTGGTTTCAAGCTCTGATCTTGGGGTTAGCAGTCCAGTGCTGATCCTACAGTACTACACCAGGATTGCTAGCCAAAACAACTATGGTGTTGTTGTTAAGTACCATGGAGTTGTTGCTAAGTACAGTGGCATCAATTCTGACTCATAGTGACCCTGCACAGGGTTTCCAAGGCTGCAAATCTTCACAGGAGCAGAAAGCCTCAGCATTCTCCTATAGAACACCTGGTAGTTTCAAACTGCTGACCTTGAGATTAGCAGCCCAATTCATAAACACTATGTTACACTGATCTTGGGGTTAGCAGTCCAGTGCTGATCCTACAGTACTACACCAGGATTCCTACCCACAACAACACCTCTATAGGCTTTCTTAATTAAAATAAGGTTTATGGTGGTTGTTGAATCTTCTTTTGTGTTTTATCCAAGTATTTGTTAAAAAGTATAAAATTTCTCTCCAACCACATCAAAAAGCTGCATTCATTTGCAACCTCCTCGCCAAATCTTTTGTATTATTTCAACAGGTTCATTGTTGTTGTTGTTGGTAAGTGCCATCGAGTCAGTTCCAAATCACAGCAACCCTATCTAAGGAGCGACTGGTGGGTTTGAACTGCTGACCTTGTGGTTAGCTGTCCTTCACTCTTCCTACAGCGCCATACCAGAACTCCATGTTGTTGTTATTAAGTGCTTTTGAGTGGGTTCTGATTAGTAGCAACCCTGTGTAGGGTTTACAAGGATAGGTTGATTGGTTTGAGCTGTTAAATTTGTGGTTAACAGTCCCATGCTTATCCTACAGCACCATACCACGACTCCATTGTTGTTGTTGTTGTTAGGTGTCATCGAGTCAGTATCAACTCATAGTGACCTTATGCACAGCAGAATGAAACACTGCCCTCACTATCGTTGCCATACTTGAGCCCATCGATGCTGCCACTTTGCCAGTCCATCTCACTGGGTGTCTTCCTCTTTTTCTCTGACCCTCCACCTTACCGAACACGATATCTTTCTCCTGACAATATGTCCAAAGTATGAGAGATGAAGTCTGGCCATCCTGGCCTCCAAGGAGCACTCTGGCTGCACTTCTTCCAACACAGATCTGTTGGTTCTTTTGGCAGCCCATGGCACTTTCAATATTCTCCTCCAACACCAGAACTCAAAAGCATCAATTCTTCTATGGTCCTCCTTATTCACTATCCAGCTTTTGCATACGTATGAGGTTATTGGAAATACCATGGCTTGGGTCAGGCACACCTTAGTCCTCAAGCTGACATCTTTGCTCTTCAACACATTGAAAAGGTCTTGTGCAGCAGATTTGCCTAATGCAATGTATCCTTTGATTTCTTGACTGCTGCTTTCATGAGTGCTGATAGTTGATCGAAGAATGAAGTCCTTGACAACTTCAATCTTTTCTTAGTTATAGGAATGTTGTTTATTGGTCCAATGGTGAGGATTTTTGCTTTCTTTACATTGAGATGCAATCCATACCAAAGGCTGTGCTCTTTAATCTTCATCTGTAGATATTTTAAGTCTTCTTCCCTTTCAGCAAGCAAGGTTGTATCAGCTGCATATCGCAGGTTGTTAATGAGTCTTCCTCCAATTCTGATGCCACATTTTTCTTCATATAACCCAGCTTCTCAGATTATTTGCTCAGTATACAGGTTGAATAAGTATGGTGAAAGAATACAACATAACTACATAGAACTCTCAAAATCAGTCCATGAACTATTATGAGGTCAAAGGACCCTGAAGACAGTTTGTACACTGGTCACATGAGAAATGGTTGAAGGACAGTAAAATGTTCATTGGACACTTTTGGATGAATCAAAAATATTACTGGTCCCTCCAAGACGGAAACTCAAAGGGAAGGCATGAGCAGGCATGTAAGCTTGCTGGCGACCACACTGGTCTACTGCTGAGTGGAAGAGGGGGAAAGGTAGCAATGAAGAAATGGGCTGATTTCAACCACAATTTGATGTGGAGATGAAAGAGAGAAGAGGAAGGGCTGGTTGGTCCAAAATATGGTGAGACCTGGGAACTCCTGAAGCAATGGACAAGGCCATAACCGCAGAGGGCTAGAGCTCAGCATGAAGTGAGGGGAGATGCACAAGAATGCCCAAACTTGCAGATAGTACCCATTTGACCTAGCTTCAATGTCTTGATAATCAGAACTTGACTAGAGGAAGATAAATAATTTTTGATAAAAGAAACGCATGTAAATTGCTACAGTTTGATGAACTTGACATATACTTATGGATGTAGTAGCGCAAAATACCAACTGAGAGGAAATGAGTCTTCACATCAAGTATCCATCCAATCCTCTCTGTAGACAGGGTAAATAGGGACGGACAACTTAGACATTGGCTACCTAAAATGAGGGGGCTATAAAGGTACAAAGTGACTAAATTACAAGTTTTGAAGAGGGAATTTAGTTTTAAGAGTGTTTGGGAGAAGATAGAGACCCCACTGAGTAGTTTTCATCTTGTCTACATGGGTCTGGTAAAAAGAGATGGGAATGAGATTCTTATGATTCAATATCGAGTAACTGTTATCATGATAATTGCAATTGTCACAACAGTAAAGGTAGAAGTTTTGTAACAAAAACGGGGGAGTACTTAACCTTACAGTCCAGAAACAGAGGACCCTAGGACCATTAAAGGAAAAGAACATAAGTAGAATGAGGGATCCTATCCAGAGAAGCAGTGACATCAGAGATGGAGGCAGAGATGAAGGCATGGAGAGAGAGAGCAGATGAGGACTCTGGACTCAGTGCTGGCGGCCAGGAGGCAGGCTTACAGTATGTGCCCTTTGGTTGTTTAAATATTCCTTAGTGTTTCTTTGTACATCCCCTCACCCCCACCCCACCCCCACCCCCCAAAAAAGAAAATAAAAACAGAGGGAATGGAAGTAAATACTGTTGCATGATGATGCACAGCGGAGACTGCAATCATTGCAATGAAACAGTTGTGTAAAGCTGATGTTCTCCCACGTAAACTACCACTCAGTACACATACACAAAAAATAGTCCTGGTGACGGGAAAGCAGGTTAGATTTCAGCTGCATCCACTCTGTGCCAGACACGGCTTCATATGCTTAACAATATGAAGTGCTTGTGCTACTAACACAGGAAAAAGACTAAGGAAGACCTGATAACAGTTTGCAATTATCTCAGCAAAGGTTCAAACCTGTTGGCTCTATTATCTGTTCTGGCCATGTTGTTGTTAAGTGCCATCGAGTTGGTTCCAACCCATAGTGAGGACCCTGTACAGGGTTTCCGAGGCTGTAAATCTTTATGGGAGCAGAATGCCTCATCTTTCTCCCGCAGAGCCGCTGGTAGTTTCCAACTGCTGGCCTTAAGGTTCACAGCCCGATTCGTAACCACTACGCTACCAGAGCTATGTGGGTTTTTTGGTTTGTTTTTGGCTCCTACAATGTAAATGTGCTAGACTGCAGAGCCATTTGAACTGCAAGGTCGGTGGTTCAAGCTCACCAGCTGCTCCTTGGAAACCCTATACAGGGTCACTATGGGTCGGAACCGACTCCACGGCACTTAACAACAACAATAATGTTGACCAGAATTAACAAAGCCTCCCTGAATTAAGTTGCATGTCAACATTTAAAGTTGAGTGTGGCTACTGCTTTTGATTGGGACATGCATGCTCCAGTCAATTTGTCCCACTTTGAACCGCAAACTACTACCACTGTGGCCAGTGGTCAGTTTTCTTATGCTTAGCTATGTTACCCAATTTAGTTGCCTGCTTATAAACATCTGTCTTTGGGATTTCTGAGCTCAAGTTTTATCATAAAGCAGAGTGGGGAACCTTTTTACTGCCAAAGTTTATAACATCTTCACGGACCAGACAAAAAAATACCAACTTAAAAATTATCCTGCTATATTTGGTCAATCATTTAATTAACTTACCCCTAATATGATGGCTGAAGTCCTGGTGTGGTGCTGTGGGTTAATGCACAGGACTGTAAGATTGGTTTGAACCACAAGGTTGGCAGTTCAGGTTCACCAGCTGCTCCTCAGAATCCCTATACAGGGTCATTATGGGTTGGAACTGAATCAATGGCACTTAATAATAACAACAACAATTTAATGGCTAGAACTGTGGTTTCCTTGACAGAACCAGACCAAATGATTTCAAGGGCCTTATATGGGTTGCAGGCTGGATGTTCCCCACCCCTATCATAAAAAGACAGAATTATACTTGTTTTACAAAGTCCTAACACATAGAGAAAGAACTTGTCGGTAACATGCCCCTATTCCCACACTCTGCATCTGTCTGCAGGTGATGATATGGTGGTAGTAGTTGTGTGCCAACAAGTGGTTTTCCGAGGCTGTAAATCTTTACGTGAGTGGAAAGCCTCGTCTTTCTCCCATGGAGCAGCTGGTAGATTTGAACTGATACCTTGTGGTTAGAAGTCCAATGCATAATCCACTATGCTACAAAAGCTCATTCAACATATGAATTTTTATTGTTTTACTCAAAGGAGGGAAGAGTTCTAGGCTCAGATGCTCACGAATGGGCATAAGAAGGTAGACTGAAGAGTACAACTGCATAGTACTTGTCTCTCTTTTAACCTGACAGATGAGGTTGTGAGGGGTAGAATCAGAAGTGGAAGA